TCACGTTAAACCTGCAACAAATTATTAATTTGGGGGTTTCAGTGACAAATTTTCTAACACCATTGCCTCACGAGATGCCTTAAAATACTAAGAATCAAAAAGAACAAGTTCTTTGAAATTATGCTTGTGTGTGTGTGTGTGTGTGTGTGTGTGTGTGTGTGAGAGAGAGAGAGAGAGAGAGAGAGAGAGAGAGAGAGAGAGATGCTGGGTAAGCACTCCAACAACTGAGCTATATACCTAGCAATTATACTTTTGGAAAAAAAAAATTTTGCTTGATTTTAAATCCAGTTGCCAAAAACAAAAACTGTTCTCTGAAAAATCAGAGTATCTAGTTATAGACTTTATTTGTTCTTTAAAGGGGAAGGAGGGYGAGGAAAACGGAAAGCTAGCGTCTGACATCCCAGATCACGAGGTGAGTTCATCATTTGTTCAAATGACACTCAGCTGCTAAAAAAAAGTCAGGCTTTTAGAGGGCTGCTGCGGAGGGAGAAAGGCAGGGCGGTTCCAGTATGCGACTGCAGGGGAAGCAGACCCAGGCCAGTCCCACCRGCAGCTTAATCTCATGTACACTTAGCCCACGACTTCAAGGCTCAGCAGCTTCATCCTTCATGGAACCAAACCTTGATACGAGGGATGTAAACACATACTCATATAAGAATCGTGGGTTTGTCCTTACTTAAAATCTGGGGACTGGCTGGAAAAATGAAAAACAAGGAGACTTGATCCCCAAGTGAAAGGGATTCTGCACTGTCAATCACATCAGTTTATAAAATATGTAAAAGAGCTATAACACTGCACACCATCAAGGTCAACACGTAAAACAAAATTGAACCTGAGAACTAAATGGCTTTTATCTTTGTAAATAAAAAAACAAGGGCATTGATTGTTGATGAAGAAGAATTTGGAAACCCTTGGGTGTGACTGATTTAGTCAAACTATTGCAACGTGGGATTGGGCTAAGACTTGGAACGTGTGCATGTAAAGTCGAAGAGTGGACCTAAGTGGGAACCTCTGGGATCATCCTGAGGCTACTTGGGGGCTGTTCTCACACTGTGGGGTCATGGGCTTCCTCGTGGGGCTCATCAGAGACTATTTCAACAGGCCTTTTATTGGCTTTCATCAGTTTTCATCACGTAGAGGAGCTGGAATAAAAGTCAAACGCTCTTGAATGATTCAGTTTTGCCATTTTTAAAAGATACCATTTGACTTGGTGAACAAGGGTGGTTAAAAGAAAGTATTTCTATTTTTAATTTTTTTTTTTTTGTGTGTGTGTGTTTGGATGGAAGATGGATGAAGTAAATGAAGTTTATTCCTGCTTGGATAGAGACCCTGCCCTCCCACCCTTATTCCCCTTCGACCGTTGCAAAATAGCTTTGTCCAAAGAAAGGGGAGAAGACAAATGAGTGAAATAATGCCAGAGTGAGCTATTGCCAGGAAAAACACACTCTGCTTCAGTTAATTTGTTCTGTTAATGTCAAGGACTGTGATTTCCAATTAACTAATTTTAAGAAGCTGTAACTGAAAATAGAAACATCAGCTCTAAAAAACAATGTCGGATGAAGATTAGTGTCTTCAATTAATACAACAGGGACCCTAAAGAAGGGTAGTGATGTCTGCTTAAGATAATCTTGCTAAAGAAATGCACTCCTGGTGTGCATTTTCAAACAGGGTTTAGCCCCTTTAGAGAAGTTGAATGGAGGTAAGAGGGGAGGGGACCATCCGGATATTCTGGTAATAGGCAATGCTCCACAAATCTCAGATCTGTGTACAGTCAATTTACTAATGGCAGAAGCAGCTATACTAGTGGGTCTCTTTGGGCTGGAGATGCTCCTCTGGTTCAGGTGGAATTAATTAAAACAGACATGCAGTTTGCAGTGCTGCCTGCCCGCTTCCTGAAAGGCTCCATGCACACAGACCAGCACAGCCTGAGCAGCTGAGAAAAGCTGAGCCAACAGTGACTCCACCATCTCTCCCCCTTCTCTCCCTGTACACTGGAGTGGAAAGACAGAATAACACTTTGGTAAAAGGCAGAACAGGGTTTCTGTACAATTGCAAGGGCGTTGATTACTTCTGAACAGGGTTAGAATGAGAGTATATGTGCTCTTCAAAGTCAAGATCACAACTTGCTAACAAAGTCTCGAAGTATCCAGAAGAAAAGTCAGCCTGGGCACAGGCCGAGTGGCAGAATCTCTTGCCTCTAACACTTCGGTTATTGCCTTTGTAATATTAAGGCTCAACAGGGAGCTGGCGGGACACCTTTCCTGCTGTCTTGTCATGTTATGGGTTTCTGGTTTCAGATAAAAGAGGAGAAAGGTCCCTTAAGAAAGCAAAGGAACTTGGAGGAAAAAAAAAAATCAAACTCCCTTGTTGGAAAAGCCAAGGGTTGTTTTCTTGGAGATGATGGATAATGGCATCTCAACGTTTTTAGTTCTTAATAGAGAAAATGGAGCAAATCATGAAAAGAAACAATTGTATAAATAAACAGAATGAAGTGACATTCCAATAAGAGCTTTCTTCATTTTCCCCCTTTTCTTTCTCTTTTTCTTTCTTTTCTTTCTCTCTCTCTCTCTCTCTTTTTTTTTTTTTTTTTGAAATCTTAAACCACATTTCTGGCTTGCATTTGGTAGGATTCCTGATCTGGCTTTTATTAAAAACAGACTTTATGTGGTCAGAATTCTCCATCTACAGCTAAACTTTAATAGGCGTACAGATTCTGACACAGTCTTTCTTGCTTTCTCTCAGGTGACCCCCCCCCCCCGCCCCCCAGGGATTTCCCTCCCGATGTGCTGAACTGGCACCAAAACTTGAAGGCTCAGCATAAAACCACCATCAACTTTCTTCTTTGACGCTTTACTCTCGTTTGTTTTAAATTTGGGACTTTTTGCAAGGCCAGATCAAGTTAAATCTGGCTCTAGCTTGGGAGTATTCTAGAAATTGTGAATAGCGCCACTGTTGCCTTACGAATTCCCCCATTCAGTCTCTCTCAACCCCATGGCCCCCCTTTCTAGCGCTGCCACTCAGGCCTGGCCGTCACTTGGGCTGCGGATTCCGCCTGACTGCGTGTCAGGCGCGTGTGAGCTCCTAAATACCAAGTGCAGCTCCACCCTGCTCAGCAAAGCAGCCGAGCATCCCAAAGCTGGTTTTCTAAGGGGTACCAGCAGGCTGGCTTATCTGAAACCGGGAGGCAAAGCAGTCAAGCGAGCAGACAGGGCATGCACAGCCATTCACAAGGACAGTACTCCAGGTGGCTCTGGTTCCTTCTCGTAGCCGAATAGACAGAACGGCAGGGTTCAAGGCTCCCTTCTCTCACAGTGGCCTCCATACCTTCCTGGCATCATTTCCCAGCCAATTTGAGGTTCTCTAAAACAATCAACTTGATCTTGATTGCAGCAGGGTTCAGTGATGAAATCTGGGTTTGATATGTRGAAGGGAATTTCTTTGGAATGCTACAGTGTGGTGGCTCTCACGTGGATGTTTTGCCCCTCAAAGGGATGTTGGCCATGTGTAAAGCTTTTTTCATCAGTCACAACTAGGGGACTGGAACTGCAGTTAGTGGGCAGAGGCCGGGGATGCTGAACATCTCACCATGTACAGGGTGGCCAGCCACAGCAAGGCCGTTAGCAGTGCCGAGGTGGAGACCTCTGGTGTCAACTCCCTTAGGACTAAGTGGCCTTGGGCAAGCTGCTTAACCTTGGTGCTTATGTGCTTTGTTGTTGTTGTTGTTGTTGTTGTTTTGTATTGGGCATTGAACACAGGGGTACTTTACCACGAGCCACATCCCTAGTTCTTTTTATTTGGAGACCAGGTCTTGCTAAGTTGCTGAGGCTGGACTCCAACTTGCAATCCTCCTGCCACAGCCTTCCAAGTCATTGGGATTACAGGCCTGCACCACCCGCCTGGCCTCAGCACCTATCTGTAATAGTGATAACCTGTCTCACTGTGGTGAGCTTGAGACAAAAGGTATGCATGAAGTCTGTACGACAATGCCTAACACATACCGAGAGCACCGTGAATGTCAGCTGCTACCATTTTCACTAGAACTTCAGCTCAGTTCCAAGTAATTGTAAACCAAGTCTATTGAATTTAAAGAAAAAAAATGATAGGATTGAGATCACACAAGTGCACTCTTTGATTAGGGCCAGCGTGGTGATCACGCCAGTCACAACCATGGTTCTTGCAATTCATTAGACTCTCAAGGCCTGGCCACGCTGGGTCTGGGCCACATGGCTGTCTTATAGATGAGAAGCTCATGTCCCAGAGTTAAATGAGTCATCCAGGACCTGTGGCAACCCAGTTCGTCTGACTCCAAAGCACCTGCTCTTCCTGCCACAGCCCTGTCTGCCAGTTTAAGGTCCCCCTTCTTATCACCATTATTACCTGCCGAGGGCTGTCACCTCATGCTCTGATTGTGCCGCTTACATTTCATTTTGGTCCTCAGGTGACTCAGTGCACACAGCTGTCATTGTGTAGTATAAAAATTGGCATGTGTAGCTTTTAAAACCCAATTGCAAACTAATSGTCTGGATTGTACTTAGTTTTAAGTTAGTGATACAGAGGGTAAGGATCATGAGTTCAGGGGCAGATGGATCCAGTTCCTCAGGGCAGAGGTYTTTCTGGAATTCCTCTGGTATTGGAGCAGGTGAGGCCTTAACCCTGAAGTGCTCAGGACTGTGGAGCACACACTTGCCCTGATCCAGCCAGAGGCCCTGTCGCAGTCCCCTAGTGGCTGCCCAAATGCCATTCACTGGGACCTGGTTTCCTTTGGTCCCATTTAGTCTGAGCCAGTTGATAAGTGAGAGGGTTTAAGACTACATACTGGTTCTGAAATGGTGTAATAAGCTCAGAAGTTTTCCCACGCCCCCACAACCTCCGAGCATGTGAAAATTGAGAACACCTTATGGTAAGATGTTCGCAATTCTCCTTTTTCAAATAAGTTTTGTCTGTTGTACTATGAGAAGAGAACCAAGAGCACCCCTCCCGATTTCTGCTCTGCGTCTTACCTTGGGACGCTGGGCGGGGCCCTCGTGGGCCGCGATGGGACTTGCGGAGGGGCTCCGAATGTGTCGCTGCTGCTGGGGAAAGGAGGTAAGGGGCCTGGACGGAAGGGGACGGGAGGGGCCCCAGAGTGGGGGCCTGGAGAGGGAATGGCAGGAGCCGGTCCTCGGCCAGATGTGGGCCTCGGGAGGGGTGTGCTTAGAGTCGGCCTCCTTTGGGCGGTGGGGCTTGGTGGAGGTGACCTGAGGAGAGACAGATCATGGTGGGTCCACTGTTACTTTTGTTTTGAATCTATCTTTTAAAAAGCTTCATTCTTTCTGCTTTTGAAAATTTATTTTCTGACTCTGTGACTCAGATATGTTTTATATAAGTCAAAAGGCTTAACAGGATGAATGGTGAACGGTAAGCTTCGTGTCACTCTGCTCCATGGAGACCACCCGTGGCAGTCTCTGGGTGTCCTTTAGGCTATATTCTACATACGTGAGAGGGTCTGTTTCCTCCCTGTGCACAAGTTGCCTTTTGTGCTTCACAGACACAACTTGACATTCTGCAACCCCCTTTTTCTAAAGCATAATTCTAGCTCCATCATCCTTGAGGACTTGTGGAGCCCGTGCTTTTCACGACTGTTGTGCGGCTGCCTCGTGCTTGTTCTTGACGGAGCCCTCCCTCTGGCCCCCGGAGAACCGTTTCTCCTTTCTCTTTGGATCACTCTGGTTTGGGGAAGCTTTCTTGGAGGTGATTCTGGACCAGCCCAGGGGCCCTGGGGGCTGCAGGGCCAACCTCCTACCTGCGGGAGTACTGAATCCAGGAGTCATCCACGGGAGGTGGGGCCGGAGTGGACACGGTGGCAGTGTTGATGTCACCAATGATCACCAGGGCTTCTTTCAGGGCTTGGTACATCCGGAGCATCTCGTCTCGGCGCTGAGCCTGCTCGGCCGATTCCTCCATGAGAGTGTTCTGGTCCTCTGAAGAGTACAGCTGCGCCAGGAGCTCCGAGTTGATGAAGTCCTTCACCTGCCCGGGCATCAGAGAGGAGGAACAGCGGGAATGAACGGGGGCCTGGAAGGCATGAGCGTGGCAGCCAGAGTCTGTGGGCAAGTCCACAGCTGTCCCGGGAAGGGGAGGTGCCCTGTCCTGCGCACTCCCACTTTACCCTTACTCTTGTCATTACCCTCGCTCCTCCGTACTAGCCCAAGAAACAGTTTTCCCGCTGCCTTCTGGCTGTCCACACTGAGGGACACAGAGACAGTGACAGGGGGCCAAACCCTGCCACCGCCGGAACAGCAGCCACTCATCTGCTTGGCCTGTCGGGGACGGGGGGACCACAAGCTAAGCAGAAGATGACGGTGTGGTGTGGAGACTGGGTCGCAACTCGAGTCTTCCATTCCTCGACACTCCCCATCCTTTGGCCAGATTTCACCAAACTCACTGGAAAATTAGGACTTCAACTTTTAAAGTTGTCCCAAAGTAGAGCTAATACAAATACGGGGACACTTATTAAATCTGAAATATAACTATACCTAGGCATGTAACTATGTAAGTTCATTTTTAAAAAAGAGAAGCACTCTTTTTTTTTCTGGAAGTTTGTGGTAAAAACTAGTTAACAAGGATGAGGACTGGCATGAGGCTTCAAATTATAACGGAAATGCAAAAACAAACTAAATTATGAATAATATGCTTGGTCTCAGGGGAGGGGCGTTTTGTTTGTAGTAGGATGAGAATGGAGAGGATATATATGTTGCACAACCCTAAAAGACCAGACCCTCACATTTCATCAAATCTAAGACATCAGCTATTTTAAGACACAACTATGCGTGACACTGACAAAGAAAAAACACAATTAATTCTGGACAGAATATCAAGGTACTTTAGAATGTAAGATATATCTTCATTTCAGAAATATTAAATGTAAAAAAAATGAATGTGAGAATCAATAAAATATGGTATGTCCTGGGGTCTTCTCAGGTTTTGTCACTTAATTCTTACCACATACTGATGAAAATGGATCATTCCAATTTTACAGACGCAGAAACAAGTTCAGAGAGTTTAAGTAACTTGCACAAGGTCATGTAGCACTCCTTTTCATCTACAATCTTCTGACTTGAAGCTTAATGTTCATTCAACTTCCCTCCTTCTCTTACTGTGATTGAGTGTTTAGCAAAGACAATTTATGTTTAAGCATCTTTATGTTTAGCAAAGACAATTTATGTTTAGCGTGCACAAGGCCCTGGGCTCCATCAATGGATGGAGCCCAGGGCCTTGTGCATGCTAAACACACACTCTGCCACTGAGCTGTACCCTCAACCTAAGCTTCCCTAGCTACAGTGCTGCAGGAGGTCTATTAATTAACTTGAACCTAGAAAAATAAACTACCCCAGGTTTTCAGTTTCTGTGTTACATGAGAAGGCTAAATGTTATCTAGGGTCACTGGATACGTCCCAGAAAGGCCAAAATCAAGCATATTTAATCATTTTTAAGTTCAGACGGAATACAGAACACCTGTTAAGTACATGCTCAAGGCTCCTGGGTGACGGTTAAATTTTCAATTCGGAGATGACAAAATTCTAAAACACAAAGCCTCATTACTTTTAAATGCACCCAACATATAAATATTTCTACTAGTCAAAAATCCAGCTAAACCATAATTCCACGGTGGCCAAATAAAAGAGTGTTCCTCACACACATTCTGTCAACCAGGCGTGAGTCAGAGATCAAGTGGTCTCATCAACACTCGGTTCCCTGAGTCTGGTTCCCACGAGAGGGTCATGCAGTCGTGGTGGGTCAGTTTGGCCAGTGACCCTGGGGTACACCGTGAAGGCCGTGAGCGCCTGGGAAGAGTGGTGACTTACCCACCTGGCAGCCGGGGTAATGAGAGGCAAGAGAGCGGAGCCATGAAAGAGAGTCCTTGGGAAGTTAATCTGGGGATGACAAAGGGAGTCTGAAAGGCAGGGAGTGGAAACTGGCCCATCGGAAGGCTACTGCAGAGTCTTACTCATGAGACGAGAGCTTTGGGAGGATGGAAAATCAAATGGAACCAGAGAGGCACGTTTGGAGGAGAGGCAGGAGGAAAGGGTTAGGAATATTTCATTCCCCTCCTTGAAGATTTGTTCACTTCTGAACACATGTACCCAAGGAGGCCCAGCCCTGCACAAGCCTTCCATTGTTGGGTGTGTGGACGCACTTGGAAACATGGTACGGCTTAGGACTCCAAACCAGAAAATTTTCCTGGCATGGACCATCAGTTGGGTTAAGCTCTTTTGAAGCTTTACGTCTTGCTGGAGTATCACTTAGGATCTATGAAATACAAACGAAAAGAAGATCCTTCCAAGGATAGATTTAAAGCAGGTCTGAATTAAGAATCAACTGTCAAACCACGAAATAAAACCACAAGGGGCTGTTTCAGCATTCTCGTCAAAGATCTGCTTTGAATCTTCCACATCGACATGTTACACACTGAAATTTGCCTCCTGTCCAAAAGCTTTGGCGATGCTGGGAACGAATCGTCATTAGGATGAGAGAAAATGGCAATACAGCATGTGGGTGAAGAACACAGGCTTTGGAAGGAGACGGGTCTGGATGTGCGTCCCAGCTCTGACACTTATGGGTTTTTGAAACTCAGGTTCAGCACCTATAAAAGAGGATCCTGGTAGCATCTGTTTTAAGAACTGTGAGGTTTGGGTAAAGAATGAATATGAAGCGCCTAGCAGGACACCCAGCAAACGGTGCTCAATCCACAAAGGCCATTACTCTTTTCTTTATGCAGACTGGATGGGCATTAGGTGTGTTCAGGCAGGAGCGTGACCGAGGGCTGCCGCAGTAGTGCCGACATCAAGTTACAGTTGAATACAGAGCACGGGGGAACATTTTATTTTGCACTTAGGCAAAACTTTAGACTCTTCTCTCTTCCTGGTAGCCCAGCTTTGTGATGCTGTAACGGGAGTTTGGAATGAAGACAGGGGTGGGGAGACTTCGGGGAGTTTCCAGACACTTCAGGGACTTTCTGCATAGTTTGTGTGTCAGTGGTACAAACATCTGAACCAAGGATTCTGTAAGGCAATCAGAGGCCTTCGAGGCGGCAGCCTATAGAAGAGGCCTCAGAACCTAACAAATGAATTGTTCCTTGGATGTGAGATCTGAAACAATATTTATGCTTTGAATTATAACACCTTATAACCTATACCTCTTTGCATGGTTTGCCAAAGTTCTCACATGAGAAACCCCGCTCCAGCTCCGTCTCTGGGCTGGGTAAACAGGCCTCACGGCACCGGGTCCCACTGCAGAGTGTACAGGAATGTGAAGCCATTAAAAATGCTCTACGTGGTTTGCACTTTCTGGCTTTAACCCTTTGATGGCTACCTGTGTATTTTGCATCTTGAACCTTCTTTGTTATGATGGAGACCATTTTAACACATTCACAGAGGGGACGTTTCGGGGGGTTGCATACAGATCAGCTGCCAGGGAACTGTTTCCTACGAATCTCTGTTTCTGGATGGGAGGGTGGCCGTTCTGAGCCTGGTGACCTCTCTCACTCACGTAACACACACATAAACATTTCACTGAGAAGCTGAATTTTGTTCAGTCCTGGGAGTGGGGAGGGGGTGGGCTAGAATTTTGAAACTTGTTTGAGTTCTCACTACTCTCTACACATATTTAAGCCCCCTTTTCCCCCACCAGGGATTCAGTTCGGGTAACTACCAAGGAAGTTTTCCTTCTTCAAAGAGTAGCCTCTGTTGACTCACAAACCTTCTGTGGAGCAAACAGAAGAGGCATGAGCTCATGACTCTGAAGTTCAGAAGCAGGTAAAGCGAACCTACGGTGTAAGAATCCAGACAGTGTGACCCTGAGGGTGGGGGTCGGGGGCAGAGGGGCTCAGGCCTGGCCCTGATCTGGTGGGGGACGCTTGGCCTATAGAAACAGATCAGTGGTATAAATACCAGAATAAAGTTCTGGTATTTAAGATGTGTTTTCCACTCAAATAATGAACATTAAAAATAACACTTCATTCACATTAAAGTTACAGTACGTTTTTAAACTAGGACACATGTTACCAATTTTCCACCAAAGTGCCCATGGCCCTGGAGAGGGGACGTGGACCTCCAGGGGTCCCGGGGCACAGGCTGCCGCGTGCATTCCAAGTGTGAAATGCCTCCAGGTTTTGTATCTGGGTTTTAAAAAGAATCCATAAAAGCTTTTACATTCTACTTTGTATTTTCTGGGTTTATTCGAATGTGAGAAACAATGGTTCCAATCTTGGAGCATTGTTTCTCATATTCAAACACATTCTAATTAAATCTTCCAGGGCAATTTAGCTTCTGGGAAGACAGCCTTGTGTATATGCCCTGTGGGGGTGGACGCCCCATACCGTCAGGGCCGAGTTCTCCTGACCCTGTTCTACCGTGAAATGGCGCAGGCACTGGAATGTGAGAGAGAAGACGTGGATTTCAGTCTCAACTGACGTGGATTTCAGTCCAGGTTGTGGACCTCTCAGGGACTCAATTTCTCCTTGTAAAAGCTGGGGAAAGTAACAGGTATCCAGAGGGTGGTTGTGCCCTTTGGCCATGCACATTTTAGAATAAAGTTGGGTCCAGTTCCTTGATTCTGATAGAGAATTAGAGGTGAGGCCATCAGGGTGGGCTTGCTCGGGGTGGGGTGAGTCTGTGTGTGTGTGAGCCTTAAGGTCCTGAGCTGCTCTGGCTGTAGCCTATCTGGCATGACTGCCTGTCATAAACTTGCTGTTTCTTTGTGCCGCTGTTACCTGGTATGCTTAAGTAATGAAACAGCTGCTGCATTTCAGTAGACAAAGGCTTACAGTATGTCTGAAGCCAGGCATTTATTGCTGGGCTTTAAACTTCTTAAACAATCCCATATGGAGACCTGAGTGGCAGAACGCTTAATGTAAACTTTCAAAGGAAACTGCCCACCAAATTCTGAACTTCATGAAAACTGGCTGAAACACATGCTTTCCCAGAAGGCTGGGCAGCCATTCCCATTTCCAAGAGGAAAGGCCAGAGCAGTGCTTTAGAGAGACCAGGAAGGAACAGGAGACCCCGTTTCAGGCCCTTACTGGTTCTGGAGGAATCTCTAACTTTCCCACCCAGAGCCATTTATAGAAGCGCTGGGTTCAGAGGGTAAAACTCAGAATTAGCAGTGAAACTGAGCTTTCTGGTTGCGATTCTGTTACCGATCCTCTCCTGTGGGGATCTCAAGGCAAGCGCCTAGCACTGTGCTGCACAGATGTGCTGGGTTTTGCTGGGTGTGTTTCCTTGGACTCGATAGGGCACATCTGGAATGAACAAAAAGGCTTCTGTACCATAAGATGCCTCGAGAATACGAGAGCATTTACAGGAAGACTAATACAGAGGTGGATAGAGGTAAATACAGAATTGCAGATGTAATTTAAAATACATAAAGGATATTAAATAGATGAAATTACAAATACAGTTTTAAAAGCAGGTTAAAAAAAAATAACAGTCATTCTAGATACGTAAAACTAATTTCTGGTAGCTATAAAAAAAAATCTCTTCAAACAGAGACCACCATGACTTCCTACAAATTTGGCATTACGTGATATCTTAGACTTTTCGGCGTTCTGGTTAGTCTCTGCTTCAAGGTTTGACCTCCAAGATCAGGTCTTAATTGAAGTCTCCTTTCTCATGACTTCTCAGAGGTCTCTCTCGAGACAACTAGTGGCACTTTCCCTCCAGGGCTAATATTCTGCAGGTGAGGTTTGGGCCAGTCCATGAAAGCCAGCGACCTGCGGTGAGGAGGGGCCCTGCCTCCTGTGTGTGCATGTGGGGTGTGTGTTGTGCTTGAGGAGGCAAARGGAGAATCGATCTGCAGTAGGATTTCTCTTCCCTTTTAGCTAATGTGTGTCAAGCTGCTCGGCACAGCTCTTGACAGGAAGTGCCGTTTCCTGTGCTGAAGATTGAATACCACAGGGCGAAGCCGCGTTTGAACCCGTGGCCGTGCTAATGATGCTCCACGAAACAGCAAAAAGATAAATGATCCTTAATCAGGACAATGTTTAAATAAGCAAGTGCCTGCCTATACCACAGCAAAACAACCTAATTCACTTAAACAAAGCTAAGAGGGCAATTTTAAAAATACACAGACTGTTTGTTGAATACTTAGGTTTTTCTCAATGGCTTACAGTCACTTTTTGTTTTTTAAGATTATTTATCAGGTCTGTGCTGTACCTCAGTGTTCTGACTGACATTTAAAAGCGACTGACTCCAACTTGGAGGGGCTGAATGATTTGCTTCAGGTCCCACAGCGGGCCACTGACCAAACTTGACAGGGCATCTCACAGTTTCCACATTTCCCATTTATTGCTCACCTGCTGCTTAGACTTCAAAGCCTCCGGCTGACCTTGCTTGGACACACAAAATGTACGTGAACAGAGCTGAAGACAAGGTGGCGCACACGAGTGCCGGGGGTTCTGGAGTCAAGGAATGTGGGGGTCATGGCCAGTGAGTGGACTGTCAGACATTTTGAAGTAAATCTTGAAATMCAGGGAAGGGGCATTTGTAGATCTTCCACAGCCGCCGACTTGTTTTCACATACACTGTCTTCTGGAGTGATCCCCCAATGGGCAACAGCTCCCACGATCACCGTTTTACAGGTCGGGGAGACAGGCCCGCAGCAGTGACTTGCCTTAGTCCCACAGAAGGGCGGCAGAAGCAGGCCACGAGCCAGGCTCCTCCTGAGCTCTGGTTTGGGTTCTTTTCGTGACTTTACCRTCTGACCTTAATTTCTCACAAGAAATGCTCCTGTTCTTGGTTTAAATGAAACGATGTCCTTAGAAGACAACGGGGAGTAAAATTGCTGATGCCTGACTTGTCAAGGTTCAGAAAAGACTGCTACGAAATACCTCCTCTTAACCTCCTTTCCTAAAAGACAATTTACCTAATCACTTGTATTGTTTGTACTTTAGAAAGTTGGCTACTGAAGGAACCAAAGCAGACCACAGAATTTAAGTATCCCATCCGGACTGCTAGGAATAACCAGAAAAGGAGAGGTTGGGATTGTCCTTAGGAAAGCAGAGCTGACTGACTTGGTATCCGAGGGGATGGGGAGAGAAGCCCTTTCCCAGGTTGAAACAGCACTCTGTGGTTTACAGAAGATGAAATAACCACACTCACACAGAGCTACACACATTGAGTATATGCAGGGGAAAGTACTTCCCATGCCTTCAGTCTCTAGGTCTAGAAGCCTGGGCTTTGGTTTCATTATTGGCTTTGCAATTAATGTATACTATGACCATGAAAACAGTATTTTTGCTCTGCTTTATTATGAGCAAATACACAACCTTCTAGAAGAGAACCAGTGAGGGAGGGAGCCTTCTAGAAGAGAACCAGTGAGGAACTTCTTGGTACTGTAGATAGAAGTTTAAAATTTTCTCTCCTAAGTTCTATCCCATCTATTAGTCACCATTTGTAAAGGAAAAATTATTGACCTGGGCAATGGGAATGTCAGTTATCCACAAAATGTCACAAAGAAACTCAAGAAAATGTGCTTCATTTCCAAGGGAGGATGGAGTAGAGGTTAAAAAGAGATGGTTTAGAGTCACTCACATTATTGATCATAAGGTGCATTATCGTCTTTGGAATCAGATCTCGGATGCATTTGTTGATGATGGACATGTAGGAGTCAACAAGGTTGCGAATGGTCTCCACTTGCCTCTCCAGTTGTGGGTCCATGGAAAAGTTCTCTGCTTGGCCATTCTCATCATTTTCAGTCTTACAGAAAGGAAACAAAACATGGATTACCTCACCTTGGCTCAGAAGAATAAAAACACCAAACATTATCAAATGACCAACTTCTTCTGCTTAGTATGTTTGGAATTCATACCATTACATAGTAACACCTTTTTCTCACCATCCATCAAGTAATTCTGAAAAAGAGATCAGTTTTGTTTTTTTTTTTTTTAGTCTGCCATAGTTAGTAAAAGCAAGTATTCTAATTCTGAATGAATGTTGAGATGAATCACTAAAATGAATAGTCGCCTAACAACAGACCTCTAGCAATCAGTCTCATCTTAAGCCATCTGCAAGCAGGCCAAAGAATGGACTCCCAACATAGCATGCGATGTCGGCCTCGGAGAGGAGTCTCCAGGGACACTATAGATTAGAAATGACCTTGATGCTATTCTGGCACTTCTAGATCTGCTCTGGATTGGATCAGCATTTGGATCAACCCAGATTCAAAACTATACCTCCTAGGACTGGCCTAGAGCCAAAATAAGAGATGTAAAAGGTGATTCATTCTCCCACGCACTTGCTGGACTTTGTTATGTGAATCCACACTCTGTCATCACTGCTGAGGGCTGGCTCCACGGTGGAAAACTTACCATTTTCACTTCCAACTTGCTATTCTTTGAATAAAACAGAACACATCTATCCACAAAGAATTTATTTGTGCAACATGAGAGAAGCATCTGTTTTCTATACTATAGGACTTGAGCTAATTAATTTTGGCTTATCCACCAGAGCCGGGGTGGAATGGCATCTTTGTCATTAAGGGCTGACCTATGGGCTTGGCATTGAAATCAATTTAGAACAAATGGTCTCCATTTCAAGTCAGGTTGAACCATCTAAGCCCCAAAACATGACAGATATTGTGAGTGGTCTGGCTACTTTCTAGTATTTGGAAAGATTTAATTATGAATGTAAAAGGGGAAAATAATTTATTGCTTCCAATGTGGACATGAAGTACTTTTTTTTTTTTTTCTGGAAATGTACACACTTTGATCTGCCAGGTTTTCCATCATCTGATCAGTTCTAGCAAAGCCCTGTGCTAAATGGCTTAACTGGAACTATAAACAACAAGCCTTTCTTTTGAATCAATATACATGTGTGAAAGACACACAGTCCACAAGATCAAAAACACAGAAATTTATAATCATTTACAAGGCTCCTCTCACTCAGAAATATCTAATGCTTTAAAAACATTTAGTATATGCTAACTCTAAAAAACAATTGCCATTTTCCAGACCTAAGAGTCTGACCGCAGGCTTTGGGGACAGCATTTCTGAGGCACTGGCCTGTGGCAACAGCAGGCGGAGGACTGGAAGATTCAACAGGACAGTGGTTCACCTGTTTCATTTCTTTAAAAATGGGCTTGGGTCACTGAAGGAAAGAGTTGAATCAGGTCTTTTGTCACTGTTACTCTGTGATTCAGGCTCAGCAGGATCCGAGATAGGTGAGCAGAAACTACGGCCGCAAAATGATAAAATTGTAGTGGAAATGTCAACCACGTAGTGAAAAAAAAAACACTGTGTTCCCAAATTTCTTCTAAGACAACAACGTCACTCTAGGTCTGCAAATGGCCTCTGCACTGCACCAAGACTCTCAAGAATCAACAGTAAATGACAACATCATTTAAGGACATTGGACTTGAAAGTGAAGTTTCAGGTTCAGGTCCAGGCTCTGTCACACTGGGTGTGTGGTCCCACTAAGTCTCCCATTGTGACTGACCCAGCTTCCGTATCTTTAAGGTGGGGACAAACTTACCTGAAAGCTTATGGCAGCTGAATGGGTACAAAATGACCTGGCAGGGGGCCTCAGAGGCACTCTATCAATGTAAAGGGTCTTTCCTTTCTGAATATTCATGTGCTGAGAGCTGCTTGACTCTCAACACACATGATGAACTTTTAAGATGATAAAGCATATATAATTAAAATCTTATTTCAAAAGGCCAAAGGACATCTCTTTGATACCTCCATGTTTTCTGAAAACAACYCCCCTTTCCCGGGGCCCCGTCTTCCCTCCACTCTGCCCACTGTGAAGACCTGTCATCTTTCCAATGTGCTCCACCAACACCTCCCCCTGACCTCCCCCCACCCCTCTTCTGCACTTCATCCTCCCACTGGCCTTTATTCTTTAATGTCCAGCTTAGTCATTGAATAATAACATGCTAATTCCCCTCCTAGATGTTGAGAGCTCATTTATCTCCCCTTCCCAGCACCTAGCATAGAACCTGGTATCCAGGGGGAGGAGGAGAAGGGGGCAGAGTGAATGCTACAAACAGGTTTACCAAAGTCACCTGCAGCTCAGGGTGTCCAGGAGTGCCGACTTTGTTAGAAGAACAGAGGCCAGAGAGACCTCAAGTTGATGGGCTTCAAAATAATTAGGATGATAAAATGACTAAGAAAACTCTGCCTATACATGAGAATAGATGACCTACAGCTTTGTGAAGAAAATATGTTCTATATAAAGCAATCTAAACTTCTAGAATGACTATTGTACAATTTAATTTATTCTTCTGGCCTGAAACATTCTTGGACTTCGTTATTATGTTCAGCAGTAGGGGGTGGTGGATCAATCTCTCTCTCCAGGAACACTTATTGAGTACCTACTGCGTTCCTGCACCATGCTAAACACTTCATATAGAAGCTGCCCCAGATCTGAGGAGGTGGGCACCATGGTTCCTGTCAATCTAYAGAAGAACACATTGAGGCTCAGAGGCTGAAACCGTTCAACAAATTTAAAATGAATATGATTTTAAGCCAATTCCTTTTTTTTTTCTTTAGGTGTAAAAAACAGGAAGCTTGAAATAATGAGCTATCCGTACATGGTAAAGATAAAATAATAAATGTAAAAAAAGTTTCTTGGAGAAGGAGCCCCTGAAGTATTGATATTTTCAAGAAGTAAATGCCTGAGCTAAAAGAGAAAAGCAGAATAAATAAAAAATAATAAATAGATCTCTAGGAACATGAAGSGCCAGGAAAATTGAGTCACCATTCACAATTTCAGTTGAAATTTCCCCATTTTACATGACCTTCAACATTYAACCTTGCTTTACTGGCATTTTTTGCTTTTTGAAGTCAGAAGCAATTGATAAGCCATGTCAGAGTGAATAAAGAACACTGGTTTGATTCTCAACATAAAGAATAAAATATTTCCAAAATAACCAGCAAAACAATTTGAAACTGTCCTTTGCTTTGGGAAATATTAGCAGACATATGGTCACATGCGAATCTTAACTTTTCTGATAATACACTGGACACGATGGGGAGTCACCAAATTCAGAATGCAAATTTGATTTCTGATTTCAGAAAGGAAAAAAAGCAATAATTGCCCCTTCTAATATGTCTAAGATGAATGGAGAAAATGTATACAGAAGAAATTTTTCTTTTAACTGAGTAATTGCAGAGAGCTAATGTTCCCTTTTCTCTAACCCCAGCCCTAACCAGATTCTCCATCATGCTCTTTTCTGAATGTATCCTGTGTATGACTATGTATTTTTTCTTTGTTTAAATTATAGGATTGCAATAGGATTCTTTGCAGTCAAAGCACTGAAGTGACAGCTGTTTATCATTATCCTCATCAAGGGAATGTAAAATAAAAATAGTAATTTGTCTCTGATCTTTGAGGCAAAAAAGAATGGTCTGCAAACATTTAACCTTTTATGTGCAGGTTCATTGATGCTGTTTACAAAATGTGAATAATGTTGTAGAAACCAGATTTCTTCTGAAAAATACAATGGACAGGCCTTGCGATTTTTTTTTTTTTCTAAACAGCTTTTGAGAAATCTAATTCAATTTCAGCAATAAAAGCAACATTGTAAATGTGAAATTGTTTATAAGAATTGCTGTGGCTTTCTTATGAARTATTTGCACACTGTTTAAGACTGCACTACTTTAACAGGTGAGGGAATAAAAGTGTCAAAGGGGAAGCAACATTCAAGCTCAGGGCTTGACTGAAATGCCTGTTTTTCCCCATTTTTGGTTTTGCCTTTTCCCTTTCCTGAGCAAGAAAAAAATCTCTTATTTAATTATGTCATGAGCTTATTGGAGGACCATGGGAACCATTTGAAATAAGACTGGTGACTTCAGCTCTTTAAAGGTGGGATAATGGAGAGTGAGCGGTCCTGATGGTAATGGGCGCATAAACCGTACAGACCAGTGGGCGTTTGCTGCCTCTGCTCCCACCAATGGTGGGCACTGGGCAACAACCTACAGGTCCGCTCAAGAGATTTTTCCAGATAACTAACCCTTCTGTAGCCACCCATTATCATTGTACAAAATTCTAAAACAGAGTGTAGCAATATAGCATTTGGCTTTTTCTCAGTGGATCCACTCACCATTGTGAAAACACTGTGGCCGTGGAAACGCACTCAGGTTTCCCAGCTCCATATTATGGAGGATGTTTTCCCTGAAAACCTTTCCCTGCTCCCAATCATTCGTTTCTAATTTGCTGAGGCCGGAGAGGTGCACAGCCAAACCTGTAAGAACTGCGTGAGGACCTGGCCAGGACGCCTCTGCGGGTGGTCCAGGCTGCAGTCTGGCATCCTGTGCCCGGTATTTCCCTGATCAACTCGACAAATATTTATGTAGGGTCTGACGCTGCCGGTGAATGCCACAAAGGAAGTCCAGAAACGTGGGCCTTGCTCTGAGCGTCTGCAGCAGGGAGGACGCAGGGACAGATGAGTCGGTGAGTTTTAGACGCGCTAAGGGAGCTCTGGGCACTGCGGGCACTGCGGGCACTCCAGGGATGGGGACACTTGAACAGGACCCTGGAAGTAGGGTGGAGTTCAGAAGGAAGACTGGGAACACTTCGTGAGTTTCCTCTAGTACTAGCCACCTATGGTGGGGCTTAATAAATACTGCGGAATGGAGAAAAGCTGCCCAGGCCATTTCCCGAGGGTTGGGCTGTGTTTCGGAGGGGAGCCCAGATTGAGCCCTGGAAAGCTGGGGTCTTGCTATCAGGAAATATGGGTCAGATGCATTTCAAGAACC